GATTATTATGGTTCAGTGTCTCTAAATGAACTACAACAGCCATCTTTGATGATGCAGACAACACACAGCTTTGTATGCAATATTCTGGTTCTGGTACGTCTTCACATTAAAACAAAACACAGTGATGGGATGAACCTGGAGATAACTGTGGGAGCTGTCAGTGTTTTCAGTTGTGGTTCCCATTGTGTTTGACTTCACTGTCAGGAATCATTGAGAAGAAGTGTGACGGATGTTTAAATTTGACAGACCACCGGAAGACCTGGATGTCGGCAGAGGGAATGCTAAAAATATTGCAATAGTGCTATCCAGTTAAAAAAAAAATCATCATTCTGGCATTAATTTTACTAGGAGCTGCTAGTTTTGTCACATTCAGCACACTTAAGCTTATTTGAAGAATGGTCTTAGTCAAAAGATTACTGTACTCACTCACATGCTAGAAAAATGTAAACATTAATTAATAGAATTGAAACATACAAAAAAAGGGTTAGAGGTTAGAGTTAGGGTCTGTTGACCCCACATGACAAATGCAAGTTCACAAAGTGAAAACCCTTATTTTCCAATTCTCCAAATTATGAACGTCATACTAATTTAACTTTGCTAGCAAAACTAACACAGTTATTATTCAGACAAAACAAAAAACAAACTTAAAATAAATTGCCCATGCCAGTGTTATCTCTGGAATGTTCTGCATTTAGACTCACTGAGATAATGGGCAAGAGGGCTGTTGTGTCTGGAGAGAAAAGTCTGGCTCAGTGTAGAAGAAACACATGGATGCAGAATTTAAAAATGTATGTATTTTGTAACATTAGGATGTTCATCATAGACACCAGTTGTAAAATCCAGTCAATTAAGCCTGTGTTAGCTCATGCTATGTTAGCTATCAGACAGCTTGCTATAATGTTTGAAAATTTAATTTAATAGCCAAATATTGTGCAATGCAATAACCATGATATAGTACCGTAATTAGTGCAGTGTAAGTTTTAGCATTGTAATATGCCAGGAGAAACTTGAACTGACTGAACACAGCAGTTCACAGCAGGCATTATCTGCTGGCCTGTGTGGGTCTCTCTGTCCAAGCACAAGAGCCCAGTTTAAGCCAACCCACTGTGTGTGGGATGGGAATGTTGGATCCATGGCTCAGCACAGCCTGCTTCCAGCTTGTTCCCACCCAACCACCCATGTGGCACCCATCCTACTCTGCCTTCCTCTCCACATGACAGTTCTGTGGTAAGACTTGTCTCCTCCTGTGAACCCAGTCTCCAGCTCACTGAAAGGACATGAGCAGTTCGGCACCATCAAGTCGCAGACGCAGAGCGTGTCGACTGTATTTAAAGGCCAAAGGCCACAGTCTGTGTGAGTTAGGACGGCATCAGGAGGAGAAACATTTTGTACTTAATCAGCAGTTTTGAAATCAAGCCAAACCATAAGGAATCACTCCTGAAAAAACGTGGATATTAAACTCACTCCATCCTGAGCTCTATCACATTGACGCAACTCGATTTTGGCCTCTCAAAATGGTGAGTGGCTTCGCTTGTTTCTCCCGTTTCGCCTCAGTTTGATTTCTTGTGTTTTTGTCAAATAAAAATGTATTGCTTTTGGCACAACAACACAGCTAAGCCCTGGTGGTGTGCTGCTTTGTTTTCTGCAGACCAGTCTTTGGTGGTTTTGCCCAGAATCTGTGAGAGGCATTCTGCTTTACCGCAGAATATTATAAAAAGCTCTGGAAATGTATTCTAACCAGTGACTGTGCAGTTATGGAGCACTCACACAGTGAGGTCAGTGAACAATGAAATATTGGTGGTACATTACCATGCACAACAGAGCATTTTATTTGTGGGGACAAAAAAGTGGTGAAGATTTAAGAAGCATTTAGAGATGTAAAAGAATTGAAAATTATTTCTGGTCAATTCAAAAACTAAATGATCAGTACGTAGGTTTTAGGGGGATCTTTTGGCAGAAATTGAATACTAATAACCAGTAGACAATTTGATGATTCTTACTTCTTGTGAACCCTGGTGTTTTCATCCCTGTGTGTTTATGTGTGTGTGAGCGTGTGAGAGAGAGAGAGATTTACACGTGTGAGTGTTTTCCCAGATTCACAACTTTTGGAGCCAAGTGCTCATGGTTTGGGATGATACCCCTCAAGAACTCCATAGCAAAAAGCAAAAACAGTATCTGCTTGCCCGTATAGTATCATAAACATCAGAATGATGGTGACATCAACAATCATGAACATCAGCCAGAGACCAAAGTTTGATGAACATAGACAATGCATAGTAATTTTATCTCTTCCACAACCACCATGTAATTACACAGCCACACTGGTTCTTCCTAAGTTGTTTGCATTGCTACCATCTCTACCATCCGCCCCATGACATGAATTTGTTATCATTTAACCTGTGGCATGTCAGGAGTTCACCCAAGTTGAGAAAACATAAATATTTCATGTCAAAAGAGTGAAGATAGGGATGGGCGAGATTTTTATAGTTGTGGATGTTGTGTAACTTTTGTCATCACAAATTTCATTGTGCTATTGAATTTAAGTTTTGTTTGAATAAATCTTTACACTGCTCATTATTGAGGCTCTTTGTTATTACTTTTACCAAGCTAAGTCAGACTGTTTAACTACACAATTAGAATATGTCTTATGGGCTCATATGAGAATCTAAATGCAAAGTTAGCAAGACTCTAACTAGGACCAGGCATCACCCAAAACATCATTGGAAAACTGCAATTGACAGAAACATGCTCACAAAGACACATCGACATTTAAATCCCCCTCTGCACACATGTAAGAAATAAATACCAGTGCAGCAGTAAATCTTGAACGCACACCCAAGTGATTGCCCTCACACACACACACACACAAGTCACTGAGTGGTTGTTATTTTACCCGGCGTGTGACATGAGGCTGAGACAGAGGTGTCCTTTGTTTGGCTTACCTACTACCGACACATTCTCCACGGCAACAGAACGGGGCAACCCGCAGGGCCACTCAAGTTTCAGCCCAGACATGAAAAGAAATGTCAAGCACAGCAAGAAAATTAGCCACGATCTCGTCAAAGCTGACCATCTGCTGAGGAAACTCGTATTTCTGTAGCACTTGGGGGATTTTGTGACTGCAGCTCCATGAAAATATGGTGTTCACTTAAAACAAGACGGCTCAGCTTTAGTTCTTAACAGTTACATCACATAAATTATTCCAACACAATGCTGTACCACAATCATCCAGGAAGCTGTGAAGGAAACCATCCCAGAGACACAGAGGACGTGATGTGATCTTTGACTAAAGCCTCTCACTCTCCTCCCTCATGTATCGTTAGCAGTTGCAGGCCACTCACAGCTGAGTGACAGAGATCACCTCCAGTGAAATGGTCCTTAACACGGCACTTAGTGGCGCATTCAAAGTGCTCAGGACTGAATTACTTGATTGGACAACTCATCTCCATTTGTATGGTAATCCACAGAAGAGTGCTGTAAAGAGCTAGAGGCACATGTAATGGAATCTGCTGGATTTGTGTCTCATTGGCTATGACCCTGTGTCCAATTATGATTTACAGTAATTTAACGTCACCTCTATCGTAATAGTCTAATGTTGCAATTCTATTATGTACATATTCAAGGGTTTTCTATATTGCTCTATTTTATTTTATTTATTCGATGTAGGCTTTTCCCCGAACACAGGGTTTTTACTGTCAGTCTTCCCCACTTCCATTGTCCGGGCAAAGTACTGATATAATTTCTGATTTGCTGTGACACTCTCTCTGAAAATGGACCCAGAGGAGCCATGCCAAGACTGCAGTTACAGGACCCCCTCCTCTCCCCCTCTCTCTAAATCTTCCTCTCCCTACTCTCTCCCTCTTCTTTTTCTGCCTGCATTCAGCTATCTCTTCACCTATTCATCCATCTGGGTGTCTCTTTATCGAAGTCAATGGCTCAGTCACACCCTGACTAGAAAAAACCTCTTATTTCTTTATCCATCATCAAATAGTTCCATTGTACCTCATTATTACGTAACACAGGGAGTTTTGGAGCAATTGAAGCAAACAGTAAAACCAAATCGGTGATCCTCTGATGCGCCTCTGTGTCTGATCTTTTCCATCACCACCTCCACAAAAGGGATCAGTTGTTCTGTCATCGAAGCGTCTCGGCTTGAAAGCTGTAGCACTTAAAAAGCAGGTCAACATGGGACGGAACAAGTTACGTCTCACGTGAAGCACTCTGGTCTCACTTGCTTTATTGCGAGTCCTCCTGTTTATGTATGAAGCATTTAGTAAGTAGCAGGGATGCAGAGCTGAAACCTGCATTGTGCATTGCATTGCAGGTTGTGTGCATTTGTGATCGTGAGAGAGAGATAGTTTCACTTAGTAACTACCTGCTAATTATACTCCACAGTAAACATCAAATTTGTAACCACAGCACTGCAGGATATCATTAACTAAAAGGATTAGAGTGTGGCTCAGGCAGGAGGGCATCCATGGCTTGTCCCGGTTGAAAATGGACTAATCTAAATGGGATACATCAATAAAACTGTGGAATAAAGTTGTGGGCACTTAAGACCGTCAGCCTCTTTTTCTCAGGCTCAAAGTAGGGAGTGGAGTCACTGGCTGGCAGCCAGCCAATAAATTAGAAGATAAGAAATATTATTCCACTGGCACACCAGCGGCTTGCAGCTATTTAAAACAGGGAGGTTTATTGATAATTGAATTACTTGGAGGAAAAAAAAAGACGAGACAAGAATAGAAAGGTTGGAGGCGGATCAATAAGATGATATTGTAGTGGATAACGCTGCGGTGGCAAGCAACGCAGCCAGGAGGATGCGAAGTATACGCTCCACTGTGAGTGATGCTGCGTTCAAATTGTGTATATTGAATGTTGCTGTTACATTTAATATAATAGGACATTTCCCCAAACATATTCTCACAGGAGAATACATTGATATGGAAGGTGCCACCACAATCATATCCCGCAGTCTTTATCTTGCATGTGTTGTGTTTCAGGTGCTGAGCTGAAGTAAGATGGCCTCGGACAGAATGGCGACTCCTCAGAGCAGCTCCAGACAGAGCAGCTCTCTCTCTTCATCTCCCATGAGGCAAGTAAAAGCAGTAGTCTGACCACACATATACATGACAGTGTCCATCAGTACACTGGCAAATAAGGGAAAAGGTCGATGAGTACAGGCAAAGTCATTACAAATGCAATCTTGGGTGAGAAGCAGCAATGAAATATCCTGAGAAATGCAGTAAGTACTTCTTGATTTGTTATATACCTTTTGAGATCCTGTGGAGTCAAGGAAGGAGGACATGTTGTATGTGCCAATGCAGTGTACCTAACATGCCTACATACTGCTTGTGTGGTGTCATCCAAGTGTCCACAAGTACCGACATTCAAACTCGACTCGAAACAAGGTCATTTACACCATGTTATAACCCCAAAAGTCCACTACAAATGGCTCAGTTAGTGGACAGAGCTACACGATGGTGTGTCAGAGGGTCTGTGAATGCACCTCTTAGGAAGATATCAGTGGACTTTTAGGCTAAAAACACATGTCGAGTCAAATAAAATGATAACATTTCTTGTCTTGACATTAAACAGGGGGCACACACACAAAACTAAAATACACAAAAAAGTCCAGTCAGTGAAGCAACTGGTAGATATCTTGGTGGGTGATATTCAGGGTCAGGTGTAGCAATCGTCATATCTGGTAAAAGTAACAGTGGCCAAGTTTGAATTGAGACAACACTACCCAGCAACCTTCTTATCAATGGCTCGTTTGATTTTACCATCCCAGAGGACTTTACTAAATAACTGGGTTACATTAATCTCTTCAACTGCTTCTCATTGGCATCAGGTTGTAGTGATGCTGCTGGAACCTTACTTTTGATAGTGCCATGCATGGCTTGCAAAGACAGTAATTCTCCATCAAACTCTCAAAGATTCCTTGTAGTGTCCTTTAGTGTGAGGTCAATATCTTGTGCGATATCAGTTATGCACTCACAGCTTCAAAGATTTCTTCTAAATGGGGCTTCAGCTTCTCAACTTGCTCTTTACAAAACCTGCCTGCGTAACTATGACAATGTTACTCTTCACCAGGTTTAAACTAATTTTCTATGGACATCCCTCCAGACCCACGTAACATACATGTAAAAACACACTGAAACAACATATGACAATATTAAGGATGATAGCAAGAAATAACCCCACAATTTTCCGATAATGCACCTTCATGGTGGCTGTGATGTGAGAGACACTGGTGTCATGGCAGCTCTGACTGGAGCAGAGACTGAGGTTTACAGAGGTGACGGGGTCTCGTTGTGTCATCAGTCATCCTCTGTGGTTCGTGAAGAGATGTGGAATCACAGACATGTTTGGTAACAGATTAGAGATTATGTGAGGTAAAGCAGGTCATCTGTCAGGTTTAGTCTCCAAGTGGTTCACAAGTTGGAAGATACAGAAACACACACATTTACAAGGAAAATTCAGGAATTATCAGTAATCAGAGAAATCCACAAAGAATGCAGCAGCACAGCTACCCTCAGATCTTTAGGTTTAGCTGCCAACAGCCGCTGCATTTTTTCCACGCGATCACCCTGTGTGGCTCCACATTACACAGCACAAACCACACAACATTAACATTCATTCAGAGTCGCGGTTCTGGTGACCCTGCAAATTTAAGCCTGATTTTTTTGGTCTGCTGAATTTGAAAGGGAAATACCATGCTCTTTAACTTCCATATGGTATGTTCACTAACTAGTGACTTTTTGGCCCAGGTAGCCTGTAGATATTTAGAACATAGGACCAGATGTTGAATAACCTTTGTGTGTTTGAAGGTATTCTGCACAATTTAAGTTACCAATTACCAGTCGATGTTAGCGGGTGTTAGGCACATAACTTCGGTTGTGCACCTTAGCGTCATTAAGTGTTTTGACCTTGTAATTTATGATACAGGACAAACTTGAGGGTACGCTGAGGCTAAAGTAAATCTGACTGGCTAGTGGCTTGTATGGGAGTACTATGAAAGCCATGTGGCCCTCTCAGTAGATAAGACATCATTATGTCTATGCCTTTTAAACTAACACTATTTTAAAACATAGGGCATGCTTTAAATCTGACAATAATAATACTTTATTAAAATATTCTGTTTCGATCATCATGGAACCAAATTAAAACCAAATTAACCAAACCAAATTAAATTTACTTAGCTCTTCATTAGGTTGAGAAAGGCTGGGGCTGCCTGCTCTTATTGACCGTCACGCAAGCCTCACTTTCCTCATAACTGCCTGGGGAAATATTTACCGGCTAATGTGTCATTATATCAGACTTAGCCACCATTCTAGATCAACACGTTAGAGATGGTCAATAGCTAGAGGTGCAAAGGTCAAGACCTTAGTAACAATGCAAACACATTCCCCAACATACACCTTCTCACTCCCTCTTCATGCACACACACGTGATGTCAGTCTGTTCCTTGGTGCACATCAGCACAGGAAAGCATGAGATTGCAACCAAATGGAAAGCTGAAAAATCTGTCAGACACATGTTTTCCAGATATAAAAAACAGAAGGGTGTGCATACTGAACAATCAGACACTGCAGTAAAAACAGAGCAGCTGTGCTTCCACACTGTCAAGCAGTCACGAACAGTTGTCAGGGAGCACAAACTTGCCAGCTGACCTGAACTGGACTCTCTGCATCCATCAACTGCTCTGCCTTCCAGACAAGCTCGAGGTCTTTCAGGTATAGAAGCAGAAATTGGTCATTTATTTAATTTCACAGCTGTCTTTTCTCTAAAAAAACATCTGAAACCCATTCTGTGTTTTCAAGTTTTCATGGTTACCAGTTTTTAAATAAACTGTTGCTCTTGAAACAGTAGTTATCTCCTCCTTATCACACGATTTATGTCTTAAATTGCCAGATGCTGGTTCCTCTTATTAAATGGAAAAAGTCTCTTCATCAGCTGCGGTAATTGAGCATATTTTAGTCGCTGATAATACATTTGAATATATATCTTCTGACAGCTTTGTGTTCACAACACAGCGTTGCAGAGGATTCACAGTGAATGCCCTTCCATATCAAATCAGCAGAGCTGTTACGCCATACATGCAGGCACACACACACACACACACACACACACAC